TGTATGTATGTATGTATGCATGCATGCATGCATGCATGCATGCATGCATGCATGTTTAAGCTTCTTCCTTAGCAGTTAGGAATGGCAGTTCTAACTGAAGAAGGCTTTGATAACTGACTTTTCAGATTGATAAAAAGTCATTATACTTTCAAATTCCCCAAAAGTTGTATCAGCCTGCATTTCTTACTTTTCATCGCCATGTAATTTCAATCACTATTAATTTGAAAATAATAATTTAGCAGAGCTTAAATGTCTAAATTCTAGTTTTCTTTTCTAGCTTTCATTGCAATGAACCTATTTGGACATAAATCTAATGTCTGGATTGATCTGCAGAATGATAATTATGAAAAATGGCTCAATGGACAAGAAGTGGAATTTGCCAACTGGTCTCCAGCTCAAGTAAGGCAATGTAGTCTTACTTTTGTGTACCCTATATTGTATTTATAATGAATGTATTTCCTACTTAGATAGAAGGAGGAACGGGAAGGCTAGATAAAACATGAAAACATAAAGCTCTTTCCTGAAGAAGATATTAATCAGGAATAATCAAGTGTGCATTAAAATGGTAAAGATAAAAAATGTTCTTGAATCAAGATCATTTGCTGTAAATGTTATGGAAATAGTCTGCCACCTTCTGGGATTTTTTTTCCTAATTCCCAGTCTAACCAATGGTCTAAAAGCTGTTTGATTTATCCAGTATGAATCATATCCAGTATCCACCTCTGGTGCTTTGCAAAATAATTATTTGCACTGGATTCGTGCAAATAAAGCATCTCCCAAAGTATTAAAGCAATTACATTATTTGCAAAGTTTACAGGGCTATTTCAAAAGATGTCTCTAATTGTCTGTGCATGCAAATCAGATGATATTACTGGGCTTGCAAGGAAGGATGGGAGCCCCTTTCAAAGCAGATGTATGAGTCTCAGGGATGATGTACGGTAGTTCCTTTAAAGCTTCTATGAGACATACTTTGTTCATTGTAAGGAGTTTTGTGAAGTACATATTTTAAATGCTTTGCACTGCCATAAAATGCTGAACTATCAATAAGATATGAAAATAAAGGTGAAANTCTCTCTCACACACACACACACAGCCACGTACACATCCCCATGGAAGCTTTGGGTGGCCCAAAAATGTTACTTAAAAATAGATGTGATGCTGAGGGTCTCTGCTTTGTTTTGCAGTGTATTACTGGCTTCCTTCAGTTCTTTTTGTTTATTTGGGGATTTGCTATAATTTTGTAAACGTTAGGACTTCCTATATTGCTCTAGCAAGTCCTATCCCAGCCTCCCTCCACTCACAGTGACCCACGGCCTCCTTTTCCCAGCTTCCCTGCGCTCACACTGCACTGCAGCAGCACCTCCTCTCCCAACTCGTGTGCAAATGGTGCCAAGGCTCCCGCTGCCTCGCCCATCTTATTGGTGACCCACCCCCTCCACTTCTGCTTAATGGCCTGTTAGTCATTAATGATGTAATGACATCATCTTGGGGATATGACAGTACCAAGACCGGATTTCTGTTGCTAAGTGATATGAATCACATGATATCCTGCTTTATAGTTTCATTTCTTAGTGAAAACAATCTCGGTCCCAATTGCTCTTATAACCCAGGGAACATCTATATATTAATCTAAATAAATAATGGAAGAGTTGTCTTACATTTTCACTGCTATGGCAGTATGGATATTTACACTTGAGGCAGTCCTGATAGGAATATACTTCTCAAAAAGTGTTGCCCATAAATTATAACGTATTTAATTATATTGGAAATATATTTAATTGGTCAATATCTGTTAGCCCTCTCAGGTAAAACAGACAGGGTCTTATTTTATTTTGACCCCCAAAATAATCACTTGACCTTATTTTTGGGGAGGTCTTATTATTTTTGAGGTGCAGGAGGTAGCGAGCACAGCTGCTGCTGTGTTGCAATATTTTGGGGAGGGCTTATTTTAACACATGCACTCAAAAGCCCAATTGGGCTTATTATCTGGGGAGGTCTTATTTTTGGGAAAGCAGGGTAGATGAGCTACATCTACTTTATTGTAGGACTATATAAACAGAATCTTGCTGATTCTGTTAATACAGAAGTATAAAACCTCCCACTGCCTCTTTTAATTTCTTGCTCCAATAGGGCGGTTCCTTCCTTAGTTTCCTTCTCTGACCTTTAAGCCACTTGGGGCTCCTGCTTCTCTTAGTCTGAGTGTTTCCTAGGCAGCCTCTCTTTCCCTCTTTCCCCAAGGTTGGTCATCCACACATTCCATTACAGTGCCATGCCATGTTGACAGGTTCATTTTAATTTTATTGTGTTATTGCATCCTTTAGGACAGTGGGACTTTGCAAATTGTACCCTTTCTCTTCCTTGTGTCTGCAAGCGTAAAAATGTACAAATTACTGAGAGAGAAATTTTGAAAGAAGAATATCAAGGAACATGTCCTAAAGGATGGCTGTACTTTGGATTCAAGGTACTTGCTGGTTTTTTTAAAAAAAAACTCCTAGAGTTTCAAACCTTAACCCTAAATGTAGTATGTTGGCCAAAAATGGATTGCTATTTTTTTTTTAAAAAAAACCACTTAAAAGCACATGTCTTTATGTGTTTGAATTATTAAATACATGTAATAATTTAATAAATTATTTGCTTTATTCTAAAACATGGGTGTCAGTTGGGGTGGCCATGGCCTGCGTGTGATGCCTCCAGCATGACACCCCTGTTCTAAAGTGATAATTGAATATTACAGGTAGTCCTCAACCTACAACCACAATTGAGCCCAAAATTTTGGTTGCTAAGTGAAACACTTGTTTTGCTCCATTTTCTTGCCATAGTTATTAAATGAAATACTGCAGTTGTTAAATTAGTAACACAGTTGTTAAATGAATCTGGCTTCCCCATTGACCTTGACCACAAAAGGAGGTCACATGACCCAGGACACCGCAACGGTCATAAATGTGAGTCAGTTGCCAAGCATCTGAATTTTGATCGCGTGACCACGGAAATGCTGCAATGGTTGTAAGTGTGTAAAATGGTCATAAGTCATTTTTTTTCAGGGCTATTGTAACTTTGAATGGTCACTAAATGAACCATTGTAAGTCAAGGACTACCTGTATGTACTAAAGTCTCCCAGGAGCCCAACTTGATTCCCTGGTCCCCATCAATCAGTATCATCTGATGTTTAATTAAAAACTGCCTGTTTTTTTAAAAAAAATCTGATTCTCTTCCTGAATGTTCTCAATTGCCATTCTATTTTTATATTGTCGCTTCTGTTTCCTTTTCTCTTTTTCAATTAATGAGCTAAACAAGGGATGTGGTCTACCATTTCTTTTAACTCAGCTTCTTCATTCTTTCCAAACCTACTCCTATCCAGTCTTGCAGATAAAATTTTGTTTCAGTGACTCATGGCTATCCTAAATACCCAATTCAATCTTTCTTTCTGTAAACAGTGTTTCCTGCTGCAGATTCCAAAGGATCCAGCCCATTTAAAAAGTTGGTATTCTGCTCAAAAAACCTGCAGCTACTATGATGCATCACTGGTAACAGTTGAAAATGAAGTTGAACAAGGTACCCTACGGTGTGTTACACCTTAATCAAAATGTTATAAATATATGATTCTTACAGATATTGCATATTTTATTAGTAGGACCTCCTCTGTTATCTAAGTATATTTAAGGCTCTGGGTCTTAAATGTTTAATAAGGTTTTGTAAGACTTAATAGCTGTTTTGGATATTATATGAGTAAAAGTAAGAGGATCCAAAATGAGGTTACTTAAATATTTGACTAGGTTTTCTATTGTGAATTTATGTCTTGCAACTGAATATTTATTATCCTTGATAAAAGACAGAGATATAATTTTCTATCAGAAAAAAATCACTTTACTTGCAATTGGTTGTAAAATACCATTGTTCAATAGTTAGTTTTTAACTATGGCAGAAGTAAGTAATGCTAAAAAACACATGTATATTTGCATTTTATACAGTTATTTAACTTTGGATAAATTCCTATCTCTTGTATTTAAACTCATTTCCTGGGATTTAAGATCTCCCCTTGATAACCATCACAGCTAAAACCATTTCCTGGGACCTGAAAGCTTGATACCTATTTTCTTCTCTAGTTTGGAAAGCATAGTGGCATTTACATAGAATCCTTTAAAAACTTTGCACTCGGTGACAAAATAAAGCACTAAGAGAGGAGGAGTGTGGAAGTGATATGGAAATAGTACATGAAATGGTTTGGTCAAGTGAAGAGAATGAGTTAGGGTCAAATTACATCAGCTGTATAGTGTATTCTGCTTTGTACAATCCTGCTTACCTTGAAAGAATATATGTATGTATGTATGTATGTATGTATGCATGCATGCATGCATGCATGCATGCATGCATGCAT